TTCTGAGCTAATAGAAATGCCGAAAATTTCATTACTGGACAAAACAGTGAAAAACGGTCAAAAAAAAGCTTAATGCACATAACTCCAGTTATTTCACTTCTACTCCAATTTAGACTTTTTCATTCTTACCAGAATCTATTATAAACCAAAATTCAAGGGACTTTTTCCAGCCCCATGAACCCGTTTTTCTCAAATTCTTCAAAACTTTATGAAAACTTTTCACAGATTTTTACATTTTTGCATTATTGATAAAATACAAAAAGACATACTGGTGAGAAGTTGTGGGTGTGTGTATTTGTGTTTGGAAGTAACCCGAATATTCCCTCGTTTCCTCGTATCATTTGGGGATACAACGTAAGCATGAGCTCCTGCCTATCGGATTTTACTTTCCTACTAGAAATGGCATTTCCTACTCATACCTCGTAGACTTTTTCTATTGGCAGGCGGCTATGGCATGTGAAATTCGAGTCGTTTTCAACTTCTTCTTAGACAGCGCTTGAGAAGTAAAATACCTTTGATGCATATAAGCAAAAATATCAAAACCGTCCAGAAATCAACATTTGTATCTCATGTTAGTGATATTACCGAAATATTCTCGCCTGCGCTAGTTGTGCCAAGGCGTTCAATTGCAAATAAATTTTTTGATTAAGGCGCTTGCAAAATAATTTTTTTCTCTCCAAATTTAATCATTTTTATGCATTTCCGCATATATGCAAATGCAAAAACGCATATTGGAAGAAGCTGTTTGTGCTTTCTCACTTTTTGTCACTCACTTTCAGCTCGAGAGCGAGAAAAGCTGGAAGACTCAAACTTCTGGAGCATGTGCCCGCACCGTGTGTGATCCTCTCGTTTTAATATCATCACCAGCGTTTGCCTGGATTCGATGTAAAGATACCTTAAAAAAATATACAAGTTTTTTGGCGGAGAAGCGATCTCGAAAACTAGACAAGGTAGAGTGCTAAAAATTTGCAAGTATATTTTCTGTGCATGTTTGAGATAAAGATTTCAAATTCATCTCCTAGGTGCTCGTCGTTTCCAAGTGCGGGCTCGTGAAATATTTGGCGGGAAAATTGCTAGCTTGGTAACCAGATAAGCTGGAAAGCTGCAATTCTAAAGGGGTGTTCTAGCTTTTCTAATTTAAAGATTTCAAATTCAGACCCCAGGCATGTGTGGTACTTAGATACTGGTATGTGAAAGTTTTGCTAGGAAAATTGCTAACTCGGGAATCAGAAAAGCTGGAAGGCGGAAATTTTAGAGGAATGTTCCGTGTCCAAGTGCAACTTAAAGATTTCAGATTCAACCTGCAAGTATGCGTCGTTCCTGTGTACGGGCACTTAGACTTTTGGCGCGGAAGTTGCTCACTGAAAAGCTAGGCCATTTTCAAAGAACGACCGTTAAACGGAAATTGTTCATTTTCTTTGTGCAAAATTTATGATGACTTGTGATAGTGAGTGCACAAGTAA